GTCACAACTGCACGCCACGGGACCCTGACCAAGCGTTGCTCCTGGACGATTATGGAGTGAGAGTGTGTTGATAGGTGCACTTTAAATTGGTCTGAGATAATGCAATACTTCTGTTAAAAAGTCATTCCTTCTTACAGTATCTTACAAAACATCCGAATCAAAATCAATCAGTGAAAATGATCACACTCATAAAAAAATACTGATAATATACTCTATATCTAAAACAAACTAGGACATTTGATCACATGTTCTTATTTTATATCATTGTCTCCCTTACATGCTTGACTAGAGTCCAAGATTATACTTTTAACTTATAAAATATTGCAGAGATTTGCCCTTTATCCTACTTATCGTCAAACTAGGTTTCATAATTAACTTTGCGCTAATTTATTTGACGTGAAACAGACAAGCTACAATCACTAACACCAGGCTGCTAAACTAACAGTCTTAAGTGCATGAGTCTCTTAACAACCCAACTCTCATGCACTCTAAAAAACCTTTTGAATGCACGTTATAGCTCTATACGCCGTAAGTATTTATTAACCTTCGTATGATTGTTTATGTGTTTTTGTTGTTGTTTGTTTTCGTTTGCACAAGGTTTCACCCCAACATCTCATTGTGTATTTTAGTATGATGACAATAAAGGCTTTCTATTGTATTCTAAATTATATCCATAGCTTCTCTTGGATAACTTTAACTCACTGTACATTTTACATTTGTATTCCATTTCATATTTAATATCCCATTCCTTACATACTTAATAATATCCTGCTTTATATTTTGTTACTGTAAATTTGTTTTTTAATGCTATTTTATTTCTATTTCAGATGTTTACATTTTGGATTGTTTACTTCTTGTCTTTTAATTTCTCTAATGTACAACGCCATGTGTCGTGGCTTCCTTCCTTGTTTTTCCATCAAGCCACTAGACGCCTTAAACAAACAGTTCTAACTCGTTTCTTTCCTTAAATCACTCACAGTTTGAAGTGTTGCTTGGCCTCCGATGGTTTAGAAGATGTTGCGATGTGTTTGCTCAAAATAAAATAACAAACTTTTGCACATGCAACAAAGAAAAATAGGCCTTTACAATATTCAAAAGAAATAGGCAAAACTCAAATAAAACAAACAACTTAGGAATTCTTTCTTTCGTGATAATGCTTATAACTTCACAACTTAAAGGGTACTTGTACGGTTCGTGTGCACGTATACGGTACGAGTACGAGTCCGTTACATTACGGTTGAAAACTGTTCCTCGACGGCGTCTCTCAACAGGTTGCCCATCACTGTGGCTTTAGCACAGGCGCCGTGGGAATTGTAGTCCTTTATAGTGCGTTGACTACAGACGTCACAATTAGGTGGCCTTTCTTATAAAATCAAAATACTGGCTCTAACACTACTTTTGAGTTACTGTACCAAAATAACCTTAAAAGAATGGCTAAGTATTTGAAATGCTAAAATGTAGTTTAGTGCAGCTCAACAACTGTGTAGCTTAAGGCTACTGACAACTTTTATTACA